ATGGACTTATCACAACAAACACACTTCGAATTCGACGGTGGATTCTACAACCAGGTGAAAGGGACACCCATGGGTTCATCAATTTTCGGATTCATTGCTAAAGCCGTAATGCAAAAACTCGAAAGGACAATTCTACCACAACTCCAGCCCAAACTCTGGCTTAGATATGTAGACCACACATTCGTGATCCTGACGCGATCGGAAGTGATCAAAAGTTTCAGCGGCATCAATAGTATCTTCGCAGATATAAAGTTCACCATGGAAACAGAACAAAATGACAAATTGGCATTTACTGATGTCCTAGTAACAAGATAATTGCCCGGTCCATTAGAAGCATCACTATACACAGAGAAGACCCACGCGGATCAAACCCTGGGATACACCAGCAACCACCCAACCTGTCACAAGAAGATTTGCATTCGGACCATTTTCGAAAGGGCCAAAACACATGGCAGCACTGAAAAGTTGATATAGCAAGAGGAGAAATGCATCTATATATACATATATACATATACATATATACATATATATATCTAATAAAAGGAGGTTAAAAGACTATATATATGTATAGTCTTTTTACTTCCTTTATCCTTTATTGAATATATAAATGTAACACCAACCTTCAGGACTGGGCTGCGGTCATACAAAGGCTGCCTGTGGAAATACAGAAATAGGGAAAACGGGCGACGGTGGAGCTGTTCGAACCCGGGACTTCCGAGTCACCATTTGTTCACCACCACCCAGATCGAGATATGAAACCAATGCATGTTATGGAATGGGAGAGGTTCATGGTCAGTCGTGGATAAATTATTTACCGTAAATTCCACAACAACAGTGAATGAATATAGCAACAGAAAAAAAACCACAGACTTTATTGAAAGAGGTAATTACTAGTGCCCAGGGATAGTGTTGAACAAACACGTGATGGAAGAGGTCAGATGCAGTTGAATGTGATTTAGAAGGATGAATATCAGAATACTTCAACGGTATGGCGCATGGGAAACGCGTATGCCTTGGGTAAATAATGTTTCAAGGAGCATCAGAATGGCATGACCAAGGAGAAAACCTATGCGTGCATGAAATGGGGGAAACGAACAGTAAAATATAAAGATAATTAAGGTGCCTGAGGAAATCCCTGCATATATACATGGGTCGTGGTGGTGATGGTCGAGGGGGTAAGGGCCACAGTAATGATTGTAGTAGTAGTAGTATGCACGGAATTCGGAACACGAACCACACAATAGAAATCACAAGACACGAATCTAGGATCAGCTATCACGTACTGGATTGCGAAAGCACTGGACCGCAATTTCACCAGCTCGCAATATCTCAAGTGAACGAGAAGCGAGGANAAGAATGGTAGCTCGTAATTCGTTCATTGGAAGAAATGAAGGCGGTTAAATAATATGCACAAAAGAAGATCATTGTTTATCTAGGCTTCCACCAATCACATTACAGTATTGCTCGTATAATTCTGCTTCTATCTGCACTGTCTCGGGTTGGCTGGCACAACCTGCCTATAGCGTGTAGCCAGAAGCCGTACGCGCGTCATCGACGTCACCTTTCAAATTTGATTGATTGCAGGTGTCCTGAAACTGTCATGAGCCGCTTCATGGTAGGCGTCATCACCTAGTCCTGGATCACCACAGTCACCCAATAATCGCCTCGACGGACGTGTGTTTGAATTCCACCACAACCGTCTGAATTCCCACATTCTGTGAGATATGACAACCGTTCATTTGGCCGTTTCCTTCTTCCTGGAAACTGTTCGTTTATGTATTCAACAAAGGGAAGTAAAAATGAAGAAGAAAAATGATAAAGATAAATAATAACCGATTACGTTGAGAATTGTAGAAATGTGATCGACTTATTTATCCTCGGTGCAACATATTTAGTTTACTTGATTAACGTCTCATGTACTATAGAACAATTTGCAATTACATGCGGTGGAAATGTTTGTGAAAACCGGAAAAGACCACTGGACAGTGGTTTTGTCCTGTTTGGGACTAGTCAACAGTGTGTAATTTTTGTGTCCCTGTCAGGACTCGAACCGCGAACATTTGGATTGGAACTTCAAACCCATATCCCTGAGCTACACGGATCGACGGTTATCCCCTTGTGCCAATGGTTCAATCAATTTAGATGGTGAATACATTTAAATGCATTCAAATAGTGAGGAATTAACGATCTCTCAAGGAATGAAACACACACCGAACATCATCAACAGTGCCTGGTGTCTGTGAAAAAACCGAATGGGCTAATACAAACATTCACCATCTAAATTTTCAATCAAGTCAAAAATTTTCCCCAAGGAACTGATAGTACACCTTTGAAATGCTTGTTTTTATCTCGTCCCTGTCCATCATCATGCTTGGAATTCCGACACGTTCCGGTGAATAACAATAGTCGTTCGTAGCTCATTTGTAGAACATCTAATCAAAACAAGGTAAGGGATAGATATCTACAGCATTCCGATGAATCCACCCTAACCAGATGAGTTAAATTGCGTCATGCATCGCCGAATCTACCGCCTCAAACTGTACAAACTAAACCGTATTATCCACATCTTGGGGTTACCATGGTCAGACGATATGACGCAACCAGATGATTGTTTGTGTCACGTAATCAGTTTAATCAAACGATTACAACTCAGTAGCCTTCACCTGCCACCCCGATCGGTCTTGTGTACATTGTGACTTTGTTACCACCCTGCGATGGCATATTCGTTTAGAAACATAAGAAAGAATAATCAAAATGAATTCTTCTCTTTGATTGCCTTTTCAGTATTCTATTCCATTCTCAAAGGCTTCGGTAAACTGCGAAAATTGTTTTCCACCAACTTACCTAAATAGGATATTGTAGTCTTGCATCGCGGTCAAATGATTATTTATAAAGTTTCATTAATTTCAGTAACTCAGTTAAGAGAGAAACTTTAAGAGCATCGCAGGACTTCTCTGAATTTCGCGATAAGGGTTCGTACAGACCTTAATCACTCTTTGCATACCTAAGCAACATTGTCGCTCCACAAGCTCTGAGTATTCAACTGGACTAATTACACCCAGCCAGGTCATCTCATGATCAATGATTTTTGCTGATACGGAACGTGTAGATCATTTTGGAGGTTTCGGGAACACGATTGGCTGAGCACATTCCAAAATGGCCACTAGCAAAAGGAGATGGGAGCACTCGAAGCTCTATCGCCAAACAGATGAAGCAGATTGCCCACCGATTGAGTTTAACGGATGCATTCCGAGTTGTCTACCGTCCAAAACGACTCTATCAGCTTAGTTTCGCCGAAGCTATCTGAAGAACAAATCCGACTCTGTGAGCTCAGAAGCAGATGGTGGTCGTACTGGCTTTACCGTGGAGTTAATCCGCCCGCGCACCACCCTATTCTTCACCCATCACTTCATCATTGTGACTTTTGTTCTCCTCTCTCTGCTCCATTCACTCAAACGAAACCCATACACACCTCAACTCCTCCATTTCATACCTTTATTTATATAATGATTTTCAACTTTTGTTGTCGATAATCGTCAGTGTTGTTTACTCGGCTTATTACCTTCTTATGTTCGCATGTCTGCGCGTTCTAACTTTCCTTCTTCCCCTTATACATACTGAAACACACACCATAACACATCACTTACTAAATATTTCCATCCATCAGTATTCGGATTAAGAGAAAAAGTGTTGATCAACTAGGTATGTTGCCTTGGGAACAAGTTGCATGAATTTCGACTTTGAATCTATTTCTCACCATACCCCATAAACATATATAATATCCATTTGTAATTCGCATGAACTGACGATATACGAAAGAAATGTCGCTGCAGCAGACATCTTGCATAACACTACTGGCCGTTTTCACATTTTGGAGGAAACATAGATCTAGTGTTGGCAGGTATATACAAGAATACCTTTGTTTAATAGCAACAACAAAGCCGATCAAGATACTCTCTCTCTCTCTCTCTCACACACACACACACACACACACACACATATATATATATATATATACTTATCTCGACAGTGGGTTATCCAGTCGATTCCAATTGGATTCAGATGATCAAAATTCGGGTTCTTCAGAAGGACCATGATCAAGGGTGGAGTGAGGGTTAAGTTTACATTGGGACACATCGGCGGATATCGATTTCTCGCCAGATCCCATCCGGACAATGTGTACAGTTTACTGATCGGCCGGTCAATCTGGTAAATTCTAAGCAATTAAAAAATAACATTCAAATCCTGTGATGAACTGGATTAGAAGAACCAAGAAACAAACATTACAAGACGACTTCCTTTCACATACTATCATCCGTAGCGTTTAGAAAAGGACAAATTTGACGATACTTGGTGGTTGAACTCTCCAATTTCGGCTACCTGTGATACAGCCGTTGTGATTGAAAATCGTACACACATTCTTATGCCGACGAACACAACATGAGACCACTTGTGTGAGTTGAGGAAACCATGCAGACATCATTTACAGTTTGTTTGAAGTATAAGATACACATAAATTTCCCTCCCACCCCACCCTCCTTGATTTCGCTTGATGAACAACTAACTGGGTTCGATCCTCCATTGGGTCGGTCGATTCGCGTACTGTTTATGGAATCCAGCCAGGTCGAAACAGATCTGCACAGCGCTTCCCAGCTTTTCAGTTCATGCTTCCTTTGCTCTATGCACGACAAATTCCCTCTGTAAAATTGAATCAAATCCTCACATAAAAAACCAGCTCCCTCCCTCTCTCACCCTCGATATGAACCCGATCCGATTGGCAAAGCTCAATACCCCATTGACCTGTGCACTGAATTCCGGGCTCTATATGGTTGAACAAACAAACGAACCGGATGAGGAAAATGAGATCGATTTGGACGGTTCCGCCAGGCCGGAACAATCCAAGGCGAGTCCAACGTGGACAGGGTTATTTACTCTGCCAGCTCTGTGCTTTCCGAGTTTGATCACAATGTGCACAGTTGAACCAGGCGGGTTCGCAGACAGACTGTGGCACAGGGCATGTCAAACCGGTTCCGCTCCAATCCGACCGATTTATCGATTTCCGCGTGGGATGCCAGCTGGCTTGTTTGAACGTGCCACGGTCAGACTGAACTGGCCGGAAGAATCGAAGGTGAGCAGCACAGTTATTGGGTCTTCCGTGATTTGTTTACAATGATCGACGACCCTAACTATACCTCTATTTATTGTGAATGTTATAATGCTAATAATACAGCGATGTCGATAGAGAATTATATCCGCCGTCGTTTCGGTTATCGTGGATAACCTTTCTCAAGGCAGGTTTTACAGTCAAATGACTCAGAGAAAGGATCACATGTCAACGGATCTGTCGTCGTCGTATATATATATATATATATATATATATATATATATATATA